ACAACTGGAGCATTCTGGGAAGTCAATTTCCCAGTGCCCTCTCCACATGTACTGAATTATAACATCTGGAGATGGGCCCAGGAACCAGTGTTATATGAAGCTCCTAAACGATCCTAATACCCACTAAAGCTAGAGACGACTTCCCAGAGAGTCTGTCCACTCAAGAGCCTGCTCTTTTTACTGGAAGTACAGCATGAGCTGGAACTGGGACACCAGTTCTCCTGCATGAGGGTTGGGGATCTGGATTGAAACAGGCCTTGACAGAGTCTCAGTAATACCACTTACAATGACTCAGTTTCCTTGTATGAAGACATTAGTAAAGACTTCTCCCCATAGAATTTCTAAGTATCAACTGTCTGAGAATCCACCATGCTCAGTGTGTTTACTGACACTAGTCAATCTGTGCCATTTGACTATAATAAGCACCCACCCACTGATGCTATGTCCATTAACTGTTTAGAGTGACTGACACTGTCACTAATGACCTCTTCCTGTACTGGCACCACAATGCAGCGGTGGTCCTTTAGGTTAGTGAAAAGTTGGGGAGACTGGATCTTGGGGTGTCAGCTTCAGCATGGGAGCCCCTAGTGGAAGGAATTGGGTTAAGAGAGTTTCATTGTCTTAGGGTTTCTATTACTGTAATAAAACACCATGACCAGAAAGAACTTGGGGAGTAGTGTTCATTTCTGCCTACAACTCTCAGGTCACGCTCCATCACTGAGGGAAGTTAGGGCAGGAACCTGGCTGGAGGCAGGAACAGAAGCAGAGACCACAGAGAAATGCTACTTACTGACTTGCTCCCTGTGGACTGCTCAGTTTACTCTCTTATACCATCCAGGACCACCACAGTAGGTTGGGCCCTCCCACACCAGTCATCAACTGAGAAAATACCCAACCGGCTTGTCCACAGGCAGGTTTATGGAGGTATTTTCTCTACTGAAGTTTCCTCCTGTCAGATGACCCTAGCTTGTGTCATCTGAGATGCTGACATCTTGATGTTGACACCATCGAGGTAGTATCAGCTTCCTATTGCTGCTGTAACAAATAGCCAAGAATAAACTCGGTATTTTGCTGTTCAAGAGCCTCGAAGTTCAAAATTACCTTCTTTGAGCTAAAATCAAAATTTCAGCAGGCCTGATGCCTTCTAGGAACTCTAGGAACATTCATTTTCTGGTGTGTTCCAACTTCTCAGGGCCACCTGCACTCCTTGGCTAATGACCCCTTTTCATCATCCACATGTAGACTCTGCTTCCTTTGTTACTCCTCTTTCCCTGATCCATCTTCATCCTCTTCTGTTTTATGAGGATATGATTACATTTACTCCACCTGCCTCATCCAAAACATTTCCTAATTGATGATCCTTAAAATGCACTCACACTTGTAAGACTCCCTGTACCTTAAAAAGCAGCATGTTCATGGGTTCTGGGGATAAAGATGAGGACATCCTTAATGGATGAGTTATTGTACTGCCACACTGTTCTGATCCTAGGGAGCCTGGTGATGATTAGGAATTTCACTTGGAAAGTTGCAAGGGATGTAAGAAGTGAGCTTGTCAAGTAGCTTCTTACAGTTGAGAACCATGAGGATTTTTGCTCTGTTGAGGGATCAGATAGTCTTCTGTAGCACGAGTTCTCATAGGTCTTAATAAAAGCCCAGAGTCAGATGTAGGGGAAATGCTGAGAGATCAGAGGAACAAAGGAGCTAAACCTCAGCCACCTTACCTACTCAACTTCCCAGGTGAAGAGACTGAGCTCCTGTCTCCTCCCACCTTATCACTTCCTCTTTCTGCCCAGCCATCTCACTTCCTTCTGTACAGACCTCCAGACCTCTATGGTTAGCTAGTGGCTAGTTCCTCCCTCTTAACTTCAGTCAAGCTTTATTTGTAAAAGTATAAGCAAGATATCACCACAGTCGTATGTTTCAAATCCAGACACATAAGATCCAGCTCAGTCAGCAGTCTGCCCCATTCCTCCTGGAAGGTGAACATTGATCCCAAAGACTAACTCATCCCACACCTACTCCTCAAAGGCTGTGTGTGTGGATAGCCCACACATTGGGAGCCTGGTCTTTCAATACTGCCACTTCCTATGAAACGAGAGGCAGCGTGATTTCTCACACATAGCAATCATTTCTTTTTCTGATAAAGGCGCTAATCAGGAGAAGGGCAATTATCTCAGTGGACATACCAGCCTTTCAGAGTGACATTATCGACTGTTTGAAATTACGTGGTATTCATCTGCTGCTATTTTAACGTCTGCTTTCTCTTATTCCTCAACTCCTCAGCCCACTGACTGAGCCCACTCTCCTACCCTGCCTCTTTTTTATTAATCTGGGAAAAATAAATGACTTATTTACAGCTGACTGATTCTGCTAGCAGGACTCTGATATTAACGGTTGTGACTCAGAATTTTAGTCTGTCGGCTGGCATCCAGCCGCCACCCACTAGAGGCCTCAGAAGACTTCACCTTTGTTTATACCAACAAAGAAATGGCTGACAACAGTCCCTGTGTCTGGTTTCATGAGCTACATGGTCCTTTAGAACCCCAGGGTTATTCTACTAGATTAGTGGAAGTCATTTACCAACCTCGTGAGCTGCAATCTTACAGTTCAAGACAGAGCTCTCTCTCTCTCTCTCTCTCTCTCTCTCTCTCTCTCTCTCTCTCTCTCTCTCTCTCTCTCTCTCTCTCTCTCTGTGTGTGGAGGGGGGAGGAAATAAGGCTACTAACACTTCTGAAATTAGAGAGCATGCCATTGGGAGACAAAAGACTAAGGCTGGAGTGCCACCTTACACTTCTTGTTTTTACAGTTTTTATTTTTATGTGTGTGCATGTGTGTGCGTATGTGTATCTATGTGACAGTATTTTCATGGGTGTGTGGTTGCCCTTGCAGGGCAGAAGAAGGTGTCAGATGCCCTGAAGCCAGAGTTGCAGATGGGAGCTCCAGCCCTTTGCATGGGCATCTCTTTAACTTCCCCAGTCTGTTTTTCTTATCACTAGTAACACGGTGTAGATAAATAAACTAACCTGTCCAAACCTTTGTTCTTCATTCTGTAAGACGGAAAAGACAGTTTTGAGATTATAGGCTATCTTGGGTTCCATGTAGAATGCAAGTTCATGTAGAATGCATAAACTAAGCTGTAGGGACATGATGTTTGACTTTCATCTCAGTGCCCTAGAATGCAGCTCCTAGCATCCTTGGAATCTTCAAAACAGTGAATTTTTCTCCGTAACTATGAGTGGTCTGAAGGCTGAAGCCTCTAGGGAGCTTCAGGATGGGGGCTTGTCACTGGAAGAACTATCACGGGGCTTGAGAGCTGATGGGAACTAGGAGGACAGAGAGACTGATGTCAGTTTGTCACTAGCAGCTAGCAACATGGTCATCTATGTCCATGTAAAGAGATCTCTATGAGAAAATCAGAGTTGAGTTCAGGGAGCTCACATGCCAAAGACATGTGTGTTCTGCAATCTCCATGTCTTGTCCTGTGCATGTCTTTATCTGCAGCCTTTAGATAGACTAGGTAAATGTATGAATTTCTCCAAGGTCTACAGATCGGTCTATATGGGGGCTGTGGGCATCAGGATTCACACCACTGGGTCAGAAGCAAAGGCAAAGCAGCCTAGGTTTACAACTCAGGCCCTCACCCTCTATATCTGACCCGGTCTCCAAGTGAACTGGGTCAGAAGGGAATGCCACCCACTGCCAGCAAAGTCAATGCTGGGAGGTGGATGCTGTGAGTAACCTACTGTATAGGTCTGGTTGCCGTGTGTTAGTTCAGATAAGGAGATGCAGGAGGTCTTGAGTAGCAAGTGGTAGGGCCATAGTGGTGGGAGTGTCCTCAGTGTCTTTCTGAGGAACCTAAGCTAGAGGAAGGTCCTTACTGGTTTGTTCCAGCTTTCTTCTTCCACCATGCCCTTGGCTACCTCAAGTCACTGACAGTCTGGATGGAGAGAAGCCAGTGTCCAAGTGTGGGTTAATGACAGCCTGGAGCAGTCCCAGACCTTTGCAGGTTGTCATGAGACAGTCACCAAAGGGTGGGGCCTCCACAGGCAAAGGTTGGGAGCCAGTTAACTGTCATTTCACAGGCAGGGGTGGCCTGCTTCTTTAACGGAGACAGCACGGCCTGCTGCCTGCTCTGTCTTACAGGTCAATTCTAGCCATTCTGTTTACAGCCCAGGAAGGAAAGCAGGTATAAGAATTCATGCTCCTCAGCTGCTAGGAGCACTTAGCAAACACTAGAAATGAAAGGAGATTGTGCATTAAGTTATAACTCAGCTGCCAAGGTGCACATCTGGGCCACATCAGTGCCCACCTCATGACAAATATTTCTAAGACTCCTGCTTACTCAGAAACTTCCTTGGGGGAACTCAGCCTTTGACCTCATCAACCTCTAAGCACTCTTAGAAAATAGGCTCCAAAATAAGACCAGCCTGGGTTCAGAAGGCTCTCCATCATTTATACTCTGGGTCACTTTGAACAAGTCACTTAACCTCTGAGCCCCTGGGGATTTTGTCATTTGCAAGAGAAGAGGTTTCTGGTTCACACATCCACAGGTTAGGGATATGTCCATTGGAAACACTGGAAAAAATAAATGTGGCACACCCTTGGTCTGGTCTGACATCCTCACTGTCCTATGACCAGGAAGTCAAAGCCGTGACCCTGAGAACTCCAAATTAAAGCAGTATGTGTGTGTATGGGGGGGTGAGTTTGAAAGTCAAGAAAATATTAAATAGTATAATATAGATTGATGTTTGGAAAATTAAAAAAAACATTATTTTTATACTTAGGAAAGATAGTGAACTTCAACATATCCCAAGCAAAGTAAGGATCAATTCTTCCACCTGCCTCTGGTGTTGATGGGTGAGGAGGGGGGTATCAGGAGACTTCTGTGAACTAAATGAAAATCAATCATTTCTCACCAGTCCCCTTATCCCTCTATAGAAGTTTTTGCACAATTCACATTCAGAGTTCTTAGTGTCTCCCACTGAGACAGGAGAACCATAGATCTTAGATAATTTTATTTGCTAATGTTCATAGAAGAGACAGTTGAACAAAGCAGAAATATCTACGTGTCTACATGTTGACAGACAAAAATTCTGATCCATGCATATGTCCCTTTCCCTTGCCCTAATATCATACTATAGAATCATACAACTACAGAGACACGTGTGCGGAGAGTGGTAAGCCAAAAGCTATGTGGGGTAGGAGGTAACTGTTCACAGTCACATTGAAAATCAAGTAAGTTTCTGACTGCAAGTCAAATAGCAAGCCATCCTTGACTTTGTCTACCCCCAAGTCTGTTCTTTACCGGTAACCATGACCACCAGTTGCAGAATCCAAGCCTCAGACACGCATTTGTTGAGATGAAGTGGGTGCCAAGTACAGTGGCTACCAAAAAGAAGGCAGTCCTTTCCATTAAAGGACTATATAGCAGAGGCAGGTGGTGCACAGTTATAAAGCCACATGAGCGGTGGATATGAAGCCTGAGTCCACTTCATTCCTCCTGAACTCTAGAAGGAAGGGATTCTCCTCTTTCACTGGATGAACCGCAGCTCTGGAGGGTTCTGCTGAGAGCTATGCTGTCCTCTGCCCAGGTCTCCATGGGAACAGCTCCATCCATCTTAGTCCCTGGTCCTACTCTTTAAGTCAGCCTCTTCCAGTGTCCTTTGGGGGGATGTCTTCTGGTGGAAGCTGAAGGAAAGGATGATGAGGCCAACATGGAAAACCATGGTTGCTTTGAAATTCATCTATAAGGGGTATTTGATGAAGAGATGGCAGAATGAGTGAGCAGGGATGGCCACAGAAAGAAAGCCTAGGAGGGAAGAGCAGGGACATCAGAAGTCATCCTGAGGAGGGACCACACCCTTCCCTGGGTCCTTCTTGTTTAGGTCCCCTGTCCACCAGCAGAGGGAAGACCTCCCACTGTTCAGAAAAAAAAACACCTCAAGCCACAGCCCATGATTCCAGGAATCTTCCTGACACTTCTCCTTATCAGATACATCCAGTTGTGTCATGCTAGCACTGATGGTGAGCCAAGTGACTCCCAACCCCTGTGAGGGATACCTCAGACTGCCACCAACATCTGTCAGTGGCGGTCCCTAAGCCTCAAGGTACTCAGGCACCTGTGTATGATCCACAGACATGGGTCACAGGAAGCTTATGATTAGGCGTCATCTAGCTGGGGGACTCATGGTATAGGTGACGGAAATGAGCTCTGGGCACCTGTTAAAAGTCTTCTATCATGCATCATGCTCATTATTCATTATGATTAGTTCAAAGAACAAAGGAGACAGCTGCTGAGACTCTGACAAGTAGGGAGACTGAGGAAGACCCTGGGATAAGAAAGGCCTGTTCATGGTCAGGTATCAGGACACAGCTGTAACTCAAAACATAGCCTAGGTTCCAGGAGCTAACAGGGTCTTCTCAGCAGCTGGAGGATGGAAGATGTTCCCCTGTAGACCATACCTATGAAAGGCCCTGGGCTGCCTGTCCACAGGACAGTCCACTGGAGAAGACTGCAGGGAGAGGTGGGTGAGAGCCCCCTCATGGCTGGGCACACTCCTGCAAACCTGGAGAGAAACCCCTCACTAACGTTTTACCTGAGATCTGGCATGAGCCCGCTAAGATCATCATGGAGGGCTGGGGGAGCAGGATGCCATGTGAGTGTATGAATAACCCCTCTCACTCTCTGGGCTATTGACTGAGGTCCTGGAAGGCCGCCTTCCCTACCTCCAGGAAGCGCTAAGGAGCAGCAAAGGCCTGGCCTCAAGACTTCAAGGAAAGGCCATCTCAGAGATAAGCCACGCTGGCACAAAACCACCAATTTCCCAAGCTGTCACTTAGCCCAGCAGAGACCTATTTCATGAGGGGCTGAACCTCCCTCCACAGGGACAGGTCACTTACCTTCACATCCACAACACTTTGGACTCTGTCCCACCAGTTGGAGAGCATGGTGCCATGTCAATAGTTACACTGGAAGGTGAAATGATACAGATTTTTGCAGAACAAAGACCTGGAGAGGGAGGAGAGATAGTGTGCATTCTTGGGGCCTTCTTTCCCCAGTTTTGTCTTCTGGAACTCCAGACACCTCTTCAGAAAGGACAGGTGATTTACTTATTTTACCAAAGGAAAAACTTAAAAAAACAAAAACAAAAACGATAGCAACCAGACATCTATTTAGCACCTACAAATGCTAAGTACACTATATGACTCTAAAATCATTTAAACATTACATAATAGTTTACAATTTATGTTCCCATGGCCTCCATCTTACAGATGAGGAAACTGAGGCTCCGGAAGACGTTTGTCCAAAGGCGCACGATGAATACTGGGATTTCAGTAGTCTGGCTTCAGACACTAGGCTCCTTCTGACATCCCATCCTGCCTCCCAGAACCCAAGCAATGAGTCTCATAAGAGGCTTATAAGAAAGAGGCCCCTTATTTCCAGGCTACCACACTTGAGTTATGATCTATTCCATCAGTGCGGACCAGCAGACCCTCTGGGTGTCCCAGCCAGGCTCCTCCCCTAACTGACATGTAAAATAGCTTTGCTGTCTGATGATCTTTGCTCATCTTTGTTAATCTTCCATTTTAATTTAACCTAGAATCGTGTTGCTAACGGGTGGAAGGATACCCACCTCCATGCGGGAGCACAGATGAAGAGTGAGGCACCCAAGGTAGCTGTGGAAGCCACATCAGCATCTCAGTGTTTCTTTATCCAGGTCCTAGGGCCAAGCTTCTACATCCATGGAGAAAGCCACCTGCACGGGATACCTGCGATGTCACCCAGACCTGGTAGAACTCCTCACAGGAGCAGCTGGAGGATTTTTACCTTACAAACAATTCCGTGGCATCCAGGAGTCAGCAGCATCAGCACACGCTCGCCATCTGCTGGACATGAAAAGGGGTTGTGCTGTAAGACTACATCCTACTGGCAGGGCTAACCAGGGGAGGTAGCCTCCTGTGCGGGCTGTGTCCTTGAACCCTCTGTTCCCATGGTGCCTCACTGTCTGCAGCCAGATGGCCATTGGCTTAGAAAAGAAGGGGAGAAATTCCTGGGGTGATTACCAAAGGACTTCTGAATATGCTGAGCCCAACCTTGATCATGGAAGGATTTTGTTCGTTGAGAACTCAGATTCTTAGCCAGACCTGCAATTCCAGCTACGAGGGAGGCTGAGGCAGGAGCAATATGAGTTCAAGACCACCTTGGGTGAGTTAGTAAAAGACTCTGTCTCAAAAATAAAAATGGAAAGAGCTGAAGACATAGCTCCATGGCAGAGCTCATGTGCAATGTCCTAGTTTCAATCCCTAACCATGAAAAAGTCTAGGGAAAGGAGAGAGGGAAGAAATAAAGAGAGAAGCAAAGTGGATTATTGGTTGCCATGTGCAGGGTGGAGGCTGAGATCCTGGGTTGGATCTGCTCCCCTGTAGCTGTTTTTCTCACAGGAAGACACTTGCTCAGGTCCCTGAACTCTATGCCCATTTTCCATCCTGTGGGGCCTCAGGTTGGATTTTCCAACCCAGAAGCTTTCAGTTGGCTTCTGGCTGAAACACAACCACAAGCAGTAACCATTTGAGGAGGGGGTTCAGGAAGGGGCTGGAGGCTGGTTAAGGACCATGGCTTCTGCATTCGTTCGTTCGTTTGTTTGGCAATGTTGTGTTGATTGGTTCAACTCTTGTCCACATGAGCACTGTTTTGAGCCCCCAAGTCACACTGATGATAGAACGCCAGCCTCCAGGCTCATGGGAACCACGGAACTACCGAGGATTCTGAGCAAGGCAGGGTTTGCAGAGCACTAGAGTGGCAGCCTGGCTGGTTCTCCCAACGACACCACAAGATCTCTAGGCGCATGTCCTGTCCTGTGAGGTATCAGTGTCCCCACTCTGCAGGGCCTGTCTTTAAAGACACAGGCCCTGCCTTTAAATTTTGCAGTCTGGGAGGGAGACAGAAATAAATCACAAAGCAAGGGAAAACCTGGAGCCCTAAGGTGCCTCCTCCACAGGTTCTGGGGGTGGCAGAAGGAGGGGCAGCCACAGGCCTTCAGCCTCAGCCTCAGGTTCTTTAGTGTTTGCAGTGGGTCACTCTGCCATTTTGGCAGGCAGCCAGCTAATAAAGGGGCAGGCAGGCCTTGCACCATCAGGCTAGTTCACAGGCTCCTCTAGAGGCTGCAGATGGCGGATGGGGACAGATGCTACAGCCAGAGCAACTGGCTGTGGATGGGGGGTGGGGACCCTGGCTTCGCATCCTGCCTCTGCCTCTTGACCTCTGTAATGTGTTTGGTCTTTCTGCACCTTCAGAGCCATGGCCAGCAGTGTCATGAGGACCTGCGGACCCAGGTTAGTCTCTTGTTCTGGACAAGCACAAACCGTTACCGCCTTTCACGGCAAAGCTTTTTCTGATACTCCAGGCCCCTTGCCCAGAGGCAGGTGCTGTCCCTCCTACCTGCCCCCAGTTGGTGCCTTTAACTGTCTGTTTCCCTGGACTCATAATCACCTAGATCAACTGACACCCCTGCTCCAGGCCCCACTGGATAGGTGCTATGTCTGTCACAGTAAGCTTCTTGAGCACCTGCAGAGAGTAGTGACTCCCAAGGATCCGAGGAAGGGCCATGTTTGTGGGCTTAGAGAGCAGGGCAAGAGGTTCGGAGCAGCAGGCAGACATGGGAATGGCAGCGGGGACCTGGAACCACAGTGAATTCCACACTGTCTGTTTGGCCTCCAGGCCTCTCTGCTTCTGGTTAAGATTATTCACTACGGTCGGTGACGGGGATGGGATGGCCAGAGTCGAAAAAGGGGTCTTAGACTTTATAGTGACTCTTCCAAGGCCTTCTGATGTATCCCTTAGATGCCCCCAAATGGACCTACATCTCTCAGACTACATGACCTGGAAAGAACACCAGGCCCAAGGTGCAGGCAAGGGATTCTCCAGCTCCTGAGGGTCCCTCGAGGACTACGACCATAGGGCCCACTGTTACTAGAGAAGGCTGAGAACAAGGAAGGTTCTTCAGTTCTCTGGGAGTGGCATACGGACCAGAGGACAGAAGTGTCCTTTAAGAGAACCAAAGAGAGACAATGGCAGTGTGGGTGACTGCCCTTCCACGCCAAGACCTCCCTTAGCCAGCTCCAAAGCATGCTCAGTCCCACCCCTTATCCTCAGAATGTCAGGTAGGCTGGGTGAAAAATGAACCTTACCCAATACTATCTCCTACCTCTGTTGTCTGAGGCCGGGGCTTGTGTGTTCCACAGCTTTCCAGGGTGCACCAAGTGAGTACCTGTAAGTAGAAGCAGGATTTGCATCTTGTCTAAACCCTTGCTGCCTGCACTTCCTGCCTCCCCTGTGAGTCTATGAACCTAGGATGCCCTCCCATCTCCCTGACATGGCCACTGGTGTCCAGGCTTGCTTTGGGACATTGGACATACACCATCCATATACCACAGGGCATGCTTTTGGCTACACTGGTCCTTGTGCTCACTTTTGGTTGCTCTATTTGGGATTTCTAGCCTCTGGCCGTGGCTTGGAGATGACAGGGTTCAAGGCACAGGGATATGGATATATGCATCAAATAGTGGGTAGAGGCCAGGGACAGACAGACTCAACGACACCCCCTCTTGCGTTTCCCTCTCATCTCATACTCTAAGGCTGGCTCTGAGTGAGCATCCCTGGCTTCTTCCACCTCCCAGGGAACCCTGTGGTCCTCCACTGTTTACTTACTCCTTCCTGGCACGGCTCTGGGCTCCTCAGTGAGTGCAACCACTGCTGCTCCAGCTGTGCAGGCCGACAGGAGTCTGGTTGAAGCATCCTCTGGGCTGACTTGGGACTTGACCCAGTTCACCTGGAAGCTCTCCTATCCTGTGCTCTGATCTGCTGGTGAGCCCCTGCCCCTTCACACGCTCACAGGCAGACACACACACATACACACACACACACACACACACACACACACACTCCCCAAAGCCATCTGTGTCCACTCTGACAAGACACCCTGCTTTTCTCACAGTCAAAGAGAATAAGAGGCACCCCTGGAACGGAGGACAGGGGTCAGGAGGAACTCAGGGTCACAGCACCTGCGATAGACAGTCTTCTACTGTCCCAGTACTGACTGTCTCACAATGTCTTTTCTAGGAAAGGCACTCTTACCACGGAGACATGAGAGCTTAAGACTGACCCATCTCAAAATAAAATTAAAAAACAAACCATCCAAATAAATCAGTGGCACAAAGCAGTGTGCGGGCATCACCAGTACCTTGCAGCCTGCCTGCCCAGAGTGACTCCTCCTTTCCACTTTTTGTCTCTTTTCTCCTTGTCTCTTTCTCACCGAGATGAAGGATTAGGCCTCTGCCTTTCTCAACCTGGGGGATCCTTACCTCTCCTCTAGTTGCCCATGTAGCAGTGATCTGCAGGAAAGTTGTAGTCACTGCAAACTCCAGATCAAGTCTTCCTCCCACTACCTCCCCCAGCCTGCACCTACAGAGCCGAGATGAAAATGGTTGTCCACAGACTTCTCCTGCATACCGCCCACCCACCCTCCTCACTTCACAAGACGAAGGACAACACCCCAGCTTAGGAACCACTCCAGTCTGTGGACACCGGCATCTTACTCCACAACTACCCCAGAGCATGTCCTCCCACAGGCTCCTTACAAAATAATACCTCAGTTTCCCCTTCTGATAGACTGCACTGAAGCCCTGTAAAGACCCCAAGGACCATGGCTAGGGAACTCTCCAGCGTATACGCCTGGGGACAAGACGATGAAGAGACCTCGAGACGTGGAAAAGTCAGTGGCTGTACGCGCTGGTCTACACACAGCCGTGGGTAGGCTGTGGGTCACCGCTTTGCTCTGTCCTGCCCTTGACACTGTTGGGAAGATCCTCAGTTGGCCTCCAGCCAGGATACACATCCTTGTACCCCTCGCCTCCCTACCATGTGCCACTCTCTGCCCTAAAGAATCACATTTAAATTGTTCAGATGGTGTTTCCAGGTGGCCCCTGCTCCGGCTGGAACCTCCCCACCTGAGGCCTAATTCTCTCATCTCCTGGAAGCTCAGGACCCGTTTCTCCCTGTCTGACTGACACAGGCTTGCTTTCTCCCTCACTTCCTGCTCACGTTAACCTAAACCCCTTGCCATCTGCAGCAGAGACCCCTGTTTCCTCTCTTCTTCACAACCATGAATTGTCGGTACTGCCCAAAGTCTAACCTTTACTGCTGCAAATTCCCTGTGGGGATTGGTCACTGGCTCCCTGAATAACCTGATGCAAACATCCTGGGACTAAATCCTGAGGCGATGTTCCTGGAAGGTAAAACTCCTCCATCTGAAGGCTGGATACCACCTGCTGCCAGCCCTTGTGTCTTCACACTCCCAACCCTCATGATTGCCATGGGAGTCTTGGGAGATCTCCATGTGGGACCCGAAACCCTGAGATGTCACTTTATTCTAGGGAAAGCAGGTCAGTGTAAGACAATGGGGCTTCGCCATTAACCATGTGACTTACTAGAGGCGCATACAGATGAGGTAATAAAAGAGCGGTTTACCACACCGCTAACCACACCCACTTTAGGCATGACTAAAGACGTATACGGATGGACCTAAAGACGTATACGTACGTAGGTGGTGAACTACGTCACTAGCCAGGCCCACTTTTGGGCATGGCTAGGGGCGTTACGGAGGAAGGTATAAAAGACTGAATAACGGAAATCTCGGTCTCTTTTTCCAGCTTTCGGCTTCCAGTTTGGCAGCAGAAAACTACTCAGCTCATCTGGGTTACTTGCTTGGTCTCTTGTGAGTAATTTCTACTTTCAAAAAAAAAAAAAAGACAATGGGGCTTGGTGTCTGCTGGGAAGTACGGTGCTCACTGAATACCTCTCACAGAGTGCTCCCATCAGCTTACGGACCATCCACACCAGGGAGAGGTGTATCTAACACCAGGGAGAGGTGTGCCTAACAGCAGGGAGAGGTGTGTCTAACACCAGGGAGAGGTGTGTCTAACACCAGGGAGAGGTGTATCTAACACCAGGGAGGGGTGTGTCTAACAGCAGGGAGAGGTGTGTCTAACACCAGGGAGAGGTGTGTCTAACACCAGGGAGAGGTGTATCACTGGCATCCCACACTGAGAAGGAAGCTTGACCAAATGCCACCCAAGAGCTCTGCCCATCCCAAACAAACAGTAGAAAGACACTCATGCTTCTTCGCTTAGCCCACCTGCTCTCAGGACAGCTACTGCAGCCTGTGGGGAGGTCCTTGGTCACCTGCCTTCCTGCTCAGTGAGTCAAGCCATCCATCCCTGGGGTTCTCAGGTAAGACATGGTTCCTCCCCGAGGCAAAGAACTAGAAGTTGTACGTACAAGTAGCTTTTACTAATGAGGGAAACAAGGCACAGAAAGGTTAAGGAACTTGCCCAACATCACACAGCTTGGAAGTGGTGGGGCTGAGACTTAGGTCCAGAGAGTCTGGAGGTCAGAGACCCACACTTGATAAGTGGGATGCGCTGTGCTCACTGGGTCAGGGGCTGTCCTGCAGGGTGGAGAATACCAAACCTTGATGCACAAGAAAAGGCGGCCTTTATCTATCACATTCAAGACAGTCCTTTTCCTGCTGGGTCTGACAATAGTCCAGGGCAAGTAGCAATAAAACCCTCCCTCCTCCTCCCTCCTCCTCCCTCCTCCTCTCCCTTTCTCCATCCTCTACTCTCCCTCCTCTTTCCTCCCTCCCTCCTCCTTCCTCCCTCCTCTTCACTCTTCCTCTCCCTTTTCCATCCTCCATTCTTCCTCCTCCTTCCTCCCTGCCTCCTTTTCCTTCCTCCTCCTCTTTTCCTCCCCTCCCCCCACTTTTCTGCCTCTCTCTCTCCTACATTCACACCTTCCCTCCCTCCTCTATCCTCTCTTTCTATGCTCTCTGCCCTTTTCTCCACCCCAGTCCCCTCCTTCTTTCCCTCCTTTTTCTCTCCCTCCTTGATAACTCCCCTTCCACTGAGATCAAAGCAAGGGTTTTTCTAACCCTTGGCATACAGAATAGACAGACCTCAGCCGACTCTTGGGGAACTAGGCACCCTAGGACAATAGTCCTCATTCCCATGCAAAAAGGAGGGTGTTTGTGTCCACCACCCCAGATCCCTCATTGTTACAGAAGAGCGCCCTTGGTGATTTTCATTAGACCTTAAAAATGGATGTCGTAGCCAGAGCCAGCCAGTGCTGAGTCTCCATCTCTTATTGCCCATCATGCTGCTGACCTGGGGAGACTAACGAAAGACCCTTCTTAGGGACACCACCATACACACACCCTCAGCTCGCACTGATTCTGTGTCTTCCTCAGTCTCAAAATATGTCAAGGGGCTGTGCCTCTTATGCTCTGCAGGCTGCCTCTGTGGTCACAGCAGAGATTTTCAGGGGCTGACCCTGTCTGGGTAATCCCAGTGGAATCTATACATTATGCCCCTCTTACAGAATCTAGATGATCCATTTGTTTCATCATTGTCTTTGTAAGTTGCCTCAAATTTTTATAGAATGACTTGCCAGAGGTTGTAGAGTTAGACACAGGTGTGTATGACCATGACTTATCCAGACTGGAGCCATGAGGTGGGGGGAGCCAGGCCGGGTTCAGGCACCCACCCGACCCTGCAGGTCTCTGAGGTGTGCTGCCCTTGGGGTGGGCAATGAGCAATGGTTCTGCCTCAAGGCCCAACTGTAACTGTTGGGAGGGTGGTTCTGCTCTACGACACTCTTTCCCATCCCAAAGAAGTTAATTCTGAATTGAATCTTCCAGAAGACAAGAAGAGAACACGTGGCACAGGTAGAAATTCACGCAGCACAGCTTCCCTCAAACACCACGTGGCTCTGCATCCCTGCCTCCAATTTTCCCCAGCCTCGCCCATGGCAATGACCATGCCAACACCATCTATCTGCTTTTCTTCATCCTCCTTACCCTTGAGACTCAGCAGCTACAGGCAGTAGAGAAAAACTGAGGAGGGGTCAAGGCTGAACCGTCACTATGAAAAATGGACATGGAAAATCTCAGTGAGGCAGTGGGAGATGGGAACGTGGTATAGGATACACCCACTTGATCCCCGCTGTTAGCTGGCCAAGCAAGCTTCCTTTAGAACCCCAGCAGCCTCTGCACCGTGCTTATCACCATGGATCTTGAGGAAGCCTTCCCATGCACTGGGAGAAAGCAATTCATGTTGTGTGGGTCAAAGCTGGCAGACAGGAAGCCCAGTGCAGCCTCGTATTTCTTGCAGTGATGGACATCAAGCCCAAGGCCCTGTGCTTGTCCAGAAAGCTCTGCAGCTGAGCCTTCATCCCAGGCTTGTTTATTGGTTTTCCCCTAGAAAGCTTCCAGCACTTGGTTCATGGTGGGGGCAGGGTGGGTCTGTGGTCTCTGGCTGAGAAGAGAGAGCTAATTGTAAAAGCAGCTCACTCGCAGGTGCCTCTGAGGGCATTCCTGCCAGCCTCGTGGCTGCAATAATGAGTTTCTGAGCATTGTGGGCTATTCCTAACAAGGATAACTAAATCATTCATTTCATTACCGACAGGGCTTGGCAGATAATTGTGCAAGAGGCAATTATCATCATGCACATTCCAGGAAGGCGTGTGACCAGCTGATCCTCAATAGCAATGCAGAAGGAAATAGGAGACAGGGCTGAAAGCACCCTGGCCTTCTGCCTGAGATGAGCTAGGCTTCCAGGCTCGTGGCTTTATGCAAGGGAGAGAAAGAGGGAGGGGCACAGAAGGGAGAAGGGGAGAGAAGGAAACAGGCAGGGAGTGGAGGAAAGGAGAATCAGAAAGGGAGGGGTAGAGAGAAAGAGAGGAAGGGAAATTGAATAAGGGGAAGTCAGGGGAATAAGAAAGGAGGGAGGGGCAGGAGAAAGGAAATAAAGAGGAGGGGAGAGATGAAAGGGAGAGAGGGACAGGGAGAAACAAGAGAGAGGAAGAGGGGGAAGGAGAGAAAGAGGTGAGAGAGAGGGGAGATCTGAAAGAGGGACAGAGGGTAGGGGGAGGGAGTAAAAGGAGAGTAAGTAGAATTGGGATGGAGGGAGAGAGACACACACACAGAGAGAGAGAGAGAGAGAGAGACAGAGACAGAGACAGAGACAGAGACAGAGACAGAGAGAGAGGGAGAGAGAGTTTGCACCTGACACGGGGTCTCTGTGATGTCTCTTTCCCAATTACTATAGTCTGCCTAGCCTCACTCCCGAGTGCCGCAGGCCTGCCATCTTAACTTTCTAAAACACTAATTTTGTCTCATTAGCCTCCTGACTGAGAAATCCTCCCGACTTGATCGTATCCATCGCCTACAGCTTTCAAATGCAGTTCTGACCAGCATCCAATCCCCCAGAGGTCTTCAGCAGATGGCAGGATAAGCAAAGCGTGCTATATGTACGCCATGGAATACTACTCAGCCATGCAAAGGAATGAAGCACCGATACATGCCACAATGTGGATGAACCTTGAATGTTATTCCAAATGAAGGGAGTCAGCCACAGGAGGCCACACGTTACAGAATTCCCTGCTAGACGAAGCGTCCAGAAACAGAAGGTCTGTTTACATCTCTCAACAGAGAGACATAAATTTATTTTTCTGTAAATTCAGCATGTTACCCATAAGATCACAGTCCATGCTTTGGAGGGAAGCATATACATAAGGAGGTGGACATCGAGCCTGTGATTGTGTGAACCCACGAGGAGTGGGAAGCAAAAAAGATAAACACATGCATAAGTAAAGCAAGACATGGGCAAAAACACTAATGTTGATGCCTGGGAGTAACAACGCATGTTATTATTATTCCCAGGCATCAATATACCATGGGATATTTGTATACTGTGTGAAGATATATTGCTGTGATTGGTTTAATAAAGAGCTGAATGGCCAATAGCTAGGCAGGAGGTATAGGCAGGACTTCTGGGCAGTGAGAGAGGAAGTAGGAGATGAATCTAGGCACAAGAGCGATACCAGGAGATGCAGAAAAGCAAGATATATAGAAAGGTAACAGCCACAAGCCATGTGGCAGCACATGGATCAATATAAATGGCCTAATATAAGAGCTAGCTATGAACGAGCCTAAGCTATAGGCCGACTTTTCATAATTAGTAAGAAGTGGGAGGTGGCCGACTAGACAGAAAAAAAAAAAACAAAAAAACTTGTTACTTATGGCACCCAACATGGGGCTGGAATATCCAAACACAGGGCCTGAAAAAGCTAAGAAGGGATCTGGACAGGAAGCTGGATTCCTAGTCCTGCAGTCTCTCAGGCGGGCTGGTGCTTGGCAGCACACGAAGATGTGGCTCCCAGCCGCCGCCTGTAGACTGGAGCCGGCCGCCAGCACTATTTGCTAAGCCAGAGCTATACAGCAGCTGGCACGACTGCGTAAGGCTTGTCTCCTGGTCAGAGAAGGCTGCAGTCATGCAGTAAAGCAGTCCAGACTGAGAAACCGTTTAAACAGATACAGTAAAAAATAGGTATAGACAGTCATAGAAAAATAAATAGTTTAAAATAATAAAGTAATATCTTTAAAGAGAGTAATGTGAAAAAAATAAGCCACATAAAGACAGAAAATACACAGTGTCTGAATCTTGTATAGTGCTTTGTTGATTTTGATTTT